CTCTGCCGAAAGCAGTCCTAAACGGTGTGGCCTTTGTTCCCCCCAGCTGTCGTATCCTCCGGGATCTGCAACAAGTCCTCATTTTACAGACCCCATCTTGTCAGTCCCCAATCTGATCTGACCACCTGGTTTGTTTTTGAATCGAGCACTTGAGTCATAACATTTCTGTTTATTTCCACAACTGTATTCCTTGCATAGGAAATGAGCCAAGATGGTCTAAGGCGGGGAGAGCGAAGCATGTCGTGGTTGTAATTGCTTTTGCTCTCCCAATATCAAATTTTACAGTATAATCAAAATCTTATTTTTGTACTACTGGACTCTGTTATTGACTTAATCTTCTTAAGTGCTCCTATTATTCCAGTGATTTAATCGTTGCATGTTGATTTTAATCTTTTGATCTCCATATTAGCTACTGCCTGCAACTAATTTGTTGCTCAGTGTTTTTCTTTGTTTTGACCTGTGAGGCATTTTCCTCATGGCACACAACTCTGCTGGCAGATTGCATATAATCTCTTCACTTTTTTTCTCCCATATTTTGCATAGTTACAACAAATGCAGATTTACAACTTGAAATGGAATATGCCTCTTTTAGAAAAGCTGAGGAAAATATCACTTCAGGTTTAGCTCAAGAGCCTAAACGTGCTTGAATAAAGGAAATACAGCTCACCGGAGAGAGGTGCACGCAGGCGTTTTAGTCCAGCAAGTTCAGAATGGGTGGCAACTGCAATAATTGTAACTTGTATTATATGCAGTCAGGGATCAAAGAGTTTCTGAAAGCATTGCTAGACCTGAGATGAAGAAGGCTGGTTTTTGTGAACGGCTTAAGGGACTCTCCTAGCTGGACTCAGCTTGACGCAGCGGTGGCTCTGTTGAATCGTGACACCACGGAGCGGGTTTTCGAACAAACGTTGGTGATGGTGGCAGTAGTGCAGAGCCGTGAACTTCACAGACAAAGTGCAGAGGTTGAAATATGGCTCAGCTGCGGTTCGGTTGGCCATTAGATGAGTGCTTTTTCCCTTGGTAGTTGACTGTTTAACCTGTGCTGATTTATTGGGCGCTTTGTTTGCTTTAGCTTTTTCTTTTAAAGCTTAGAGAAGTAGTTTTTGCCTTAGGTTTGCTGTGACTTTTTAAAAAAGAACACAGCCTAAACATTGACAAAATCATCTTTGCTTTGCTGCGTGCCTGTTTACGCTTCTGAACACAAATTGTCTTCTAATATTTTTGACGTTTTGGTCACTAGAGAGGCAGAAAAGCAATTTCTAAGATGCCTATGGGCCAGGAGACATGCATTACAGCAGAGGGGAAAGAATCTGTTAGTTGCTGAAATATAAAACAAATTGGATGAACAGCTGCTGACACTTGTCAGTCAAATAGTTGATAGCATTTTCAGTCTCCATGCCACATGCTTTAAGTAAGTCTGTCAAAAAAAGGATATTTTCGCTGGACTTCCCTGTAAATATGAGAGAAGTTTTGGCCTGATCTATCGTTTAAAATTTTGCTGGCAGAAGAATAAAATTTTCCTCTTTCCCCAAAACTGATTGACATAACTGTACTGGCAGATTCTTCATCTAGGTGCAGTTGTACTGGCAGAAAGTCCTTTGACTGTTGGAGCTCGTTCCATCGCAGCGATGGGTTGAAGCGAAACCAGCAGCGGACCTTTGCGTTCCTCGGCTGGGTTTGCCGGAGTGCTCCCACCTGTCAGCAAGCCCTTTTAGATGCTGCCCGAGGTGTAGCTTTTGCTCTGTGGGAGCCTGAGTCCTGTCCAAAGCGTTGACTGTGGCCAGGAGGACTTTAAACCCGGGTTGATGTTTTTCAGACAAAACCAGACCATTTTGGATTCAACATTTCTGGAGGATTAACCCAAGCCAGCACTTCTCGCTCCTGGTACCATGGTGCAGCACCCATATAGGAGAGGGTCGGGCTGCCAGCACCCACTTAACCATTTGCAGGGTTAAAGGCAGTGGGGTCAGGGTGCGACACGCTCCTTTGCTCAACCACAGGCTGCAGGCTCTGGAGTGGGAGGTTAAATCCTGCTTTGCAGCATTGCTCGTACGTGAGCTCTTCTCCCTGCTCACACTTCAGTATGAAACTTGAAGCTCATCATTTAGGTCCAAACTCCTTAAAAGAAGTAAGCTGGCTAATGCTTCCTTGTTTTGAATGTGTGGTCAAGCCTGACATATCCTCAGGGTTGTTATGGAGTCTCTGAGGTGCTTTACTGGAGTTTGAGGAAAGGCGAAAAGTTGTCACGGGCTATAGGGTCATTGCTAATGACAGAGAAGCTCAGACAAGGGTGAGTTTCATAGCTGCCGTTTGAGGGAGGCACCGATGTGTGTTAGTGAGGCACAGCCAAGGATCATCTCCTG